AAATTTTGCAGCAGCTACTGTGCAGTGCATATATGTATGTTGTTAAAATGATGTCGCTTTAAGAGTTTAGAACATTGCAAAAGTGTGGGAAGGGTTTCTAAAGCCTTAAAATATATATAAATACAAAAATAAATGTAACGTTTCTACTTCGCGGTTTTTCCACATATTGCGGGGGTTCCGGAACGTAAATCCCACTATAAACAGTATGGCCCACAATCAATGCACTACATGATTGAGGATACAAACGCACCTTTACCAGTGATTAGAAAATGAACTTTGTGATCGTTTGATCTTATATTAATTATCGTGCGTCTCCACCTGGTGTTACCTCAGTAAGAGAGATTTATGTGCATGTTACTTATCGTCAAAACTTTTGACCTGCTGAAGATCCAGTTGACAAATAAATCAGTCCAGCTGTAAGAAATGTGTATTCAGGCCTTTGTTTGACCTTTATTAAAATGTTAGTGTTCAGTACAGGAAAACGGACTGACTCAAGGTGACCTTCACTTCTCTCATCAAACACAGCGACCAACAGGCTGATCAGCTGTTTCTGCATCATTCAGAAGATGACAAGAACAATCCCAGCGTTTCCTGCTGCAAAGTATCTGATGAAGCTTTTGACCGTTTTCATCCAGTTAAGGTTTTCTGAACAGTTGCAGCTTTTCTTAGTATCAGTGTAGACAATCTGTGTTGACTGTAAAGAAATGCTTTGTATTAAAAGTTTACGACTCGCTGCAGAGCGCCGTGCCGCACGTTTACATGCCTTATATGAACTAGAAAGAATCAATAGTGATGAACCGGTGACGCTCAGCATCAATCTAAAGATTTTATTTTTTTATTCAACTTTGGTTATTGTCGTTCTGCTCCTACTGTTTATTATCCAACAAAACATTTACACTAAAATTAATCCACCTTCCAATTAGAGCCTTTCAGACAGTCCGAGGTTCATTTCCTCCTTCAGTCGTCCAGTTCAGGTTTTTCTCTTAAATAATGTCGTAGTTTTAATTGTAAATCATAAATGATGAGCCGTGGTGGGACATCTGACTCACAACGGTTTCAAATTTCTGCTTACTCTGTTTCTAGTTTGTTGAACTAACGGGTAAATAAACCCGTGGCTCCAGACGGGGGGAGGTAAACATAAATATTAATGTTTAAATAAAATAATTGGCGCTTTGAAACACATTCAGCCGTCCTGTTGAGGAGGAAAAAGAAAATGGACGTGAACAAAACTGAATTTATACTTGTTGCTGTCATGAAAGTGTATTTTTAACTTAAATCTGCTGCGTTGCTTTTAATTTAATGTTTCAAAGACAATTTATTGAGCTCCAACTTAAAATTACATCATTTAGAACAAAGTTTTGAACAAATCAAAAACTTCAGCAAATGATGAGATGTTTTGAATTTGGATTTTTAAATTACCGTAATTTCTGTACTACAGAGCGCATCTGAGTATTAGCCGTGCCCACTAAATTAAATAAATAAATAAAACATTTTTGTATTTATATAAAAGCCACTTTTGTTGTAAGCTGCAGGCGTTCACGTTGAAACATGAGATATTTACGCAGAATTAAAAAAAAACTTAATTAAATACATACAGGTAACAAACACAAATACGTACAGTAAATGTTTTCTTTCTGAGCAATGTCTTTAACATGGTTGGTTAAAAAATTAAATAAAATACAGTAGCTATAGAAAAATAATAGATTGCTACCTTCATGCCTCCTGTGCATTAAAACCACTAAAGTCGTCTTCGTCAGAGTCAGAATTGAACAACCTCAGAAAAACGTCACCACGCACGTCCTCCGTCTCTCTTTCGTTGTCGTTCTCACTGTCACTTTCGTCTCGAGGCAAATTGGTGATTTGATTTACGTTTCACACTTATTTCGAGTGGATGCAAATACTCTGTTGTGTACAACGAGGGGGGAAACCCCCACAGAAAGTGGGAGGGGAGGAGAGAACAGGGAAGGCCCCCCCAGTGAACCAATGAAACCAAGTTTCATTGAAACCAGGGCTTCATTTGTAAACCAATTGATGCCGGTGTTACACCATATTTTGTGACCACTGTATATTGTGACCGTAGGGGGTGCTGTTTTTACATCATACTTTGCAATACCTGATAAACACTATCATATTATGTGACTGTCTATATATTTCCATAATAGTCATGATTTTAGTGGGCAGATGTTAATTTTTATTCTTTGGAAAAAGGAGGCTGACTCTCTTCTTCCTCCAAAGAATAAAAAGTAAAATCTGATCACAAATATCATGACTATTATGGAAATATAGACGGTCACAGAATATGATAGCGCTTATCAGATATTGTGACCACACTGTAACTTATAGAAAAACATTAAATACTTGAGCCAAACTGTTTCTGATGACTCTCTACTTACTGTAAGGAATAAAAAGTAGCATCTGACCACTAATATCATGACTATTATGGAAATATAGACAGTCACAGAATATAATAGGGGGGTGTGGTGGCGCAGAGGTTAGAGAGGTGGGCTTGTGATCCGAAGATCGCCGGTTCACGCCCCGGCCCCGACAACATCAAAATTGTGGGTGGGGTAGGTGAAACACCCACACTTGCCCCCATCCTCATTCGCCCCACTCTGGGCCCATGAGCAAGGCCCTTAACCCCCACCATGTGCTCCCTAAACAGGTCTCTCTTGAAAATGAGTTCTCGTGGCTCAATGAGACTAACCTGTATAAATAAAGGCTAAATGAAAAAAAAAAAATGAAAAAAAAAATAATAGCGTTTATCAGATATTGCAAAGTATGGTGTAAAAATGCAACAGCGCCCCCTACGGTCACAATATTTGGTGGACACAGAATATGGTGTAACGCCAGAACACAAATAGCAGGCAGTCTGGCGTGCGTGTTTTTTTTTTTTTTTTGGGGGGGGGGGTGTCCTCCCCTAAAAAATTTTGAATAAAAGAGATGTTGTCTCCTGTATTTTGGTGTATTTTAACAGGTTGTTAAACATCTGTAAACATTTGATTACACTGATTAAAAACAGGTCTTTGTTGTAAATGAGTCCTCGAGGCTCAATGAGACTAACCTGTATAAATAAAGGTTGAATTGAAATTACTATTGTAGAGAGCAGTGAATAGAGCAGCTCCGATTCTGTCAAGCGTCCCAACCCCCACTAATGCCCCCCCACCCCCCCACCCACACACAAACTTCAACGTCCGACCTGAACTCTTCTCAACTTGTTTGTGCTGCTTTGATTTCTGAGACACAGCTGAAGGTGGATGAAGACACTTCATCCCTGCGGGACATGCGGTCCGTGTCTCTGCTGGCAGGAGCGTGTGCGCGAGCTGGCGCGCCTGCTGCAGCAGTAACATCCACACCACAGACACGAACAACGTCTCCTGTCGCTGTATTTCAAAATAAAAATGTGCAATGACTTTGGACTTTTATGGGCGGAGATATGAGCTGCCGGATCCGAACAAACAGTTGCTGGAACGCACACGGTGAAACTGATGGCGTTCCCAGATCTGTTCCGACAGGATCCGGCTCAAATTAACCACTGATGGAAACCAAGTTTCATTGGTCCACTGTGTTCTATTCAGTAAATTAATTGGTCTTTTTTTTTTTTTTACCTTTATTTATACTAGTCTCGCTGAGTCACGAGGACCCACCTCCCCAAGAGAGATGTGTACTGAGCAGCTATGTGAGCACCCGGGTGTGACGAGGCTAAATGTTTTGGTGGCTTTAAGCTTGTTAGCCCGTCAAAAATAAAAATCCATAAATTAGCTGCAGCGTTGTATAAGCCACGGGGTTCAACGCGTGTGAAAAAAGTAGCAGCTTATAGTCCGGACATTACGGTAACTATTTTCTTTTGCACAACTACAACTAATCATAGTAATAGTAAGTTGTTTAAGAAACTATTTTAGACTTTTTTTTTTACCTAATCTTCTAAAGAAAACAAGCTATAAAGTATTAACAGTAACAAGCTTGAAATTAAACATTATCTGTAACGAGGCAATGAGAGATAAGAGCTGGTGGAATGTGAAATTAATGTTTTCATTTTTAAATTAACACGCATAATTGCTAGAATCTATTGTAGTTTTGACGTTTCTGCTGTGCAGTTAAACTTTGTGAAATTAATGTTTCTTACTTGGCGCCAGCAGGAATTATGAACGTGACGACCTTCTTTTTTTATTCTGTCAAACCAAACACATGCGCACACACACATGCACACACACAGGCAAACAAACAGTCCGACGCAGCTCACAGGAAGCAGTTTGAAAAACCGTCTCAGACTCTAGAAGTCCACGTCTCTACATGGCAGCAGCTGAATACCTCATGGAGAAAGCAGCTCCAAAATGTGACAAATCTCTTGGATGCCAGTTTCCTTCTCCAGCACATCCACACCCTGAGCCAGCACAGCCTCCCCACCACCACCATCCCCACCCCTCCCCGGGGCCCCCTTCAGCCGGCTGCGTGTCTCTGGAGGTCGCCTCTGACGTCAGCAGCTCGACTGGGCGGAGTGCCAGCCCTGTGGGCCCTTGATGGATGCGCTTGGTCTGAGAAACAACCCGCTGCGCACGGAGCGCGCCTCACAAACTCGTCTCGGCCCGTTCAAACACGTCTACTGACCCGTAAAGACCCGACAGTTCCCTCTTCTGTCCATCACAAACTTCTTTGACAATTAAAAGAAAACTCGTGAAGTTATTTGTGATGCAAGTGGTCAGGATAAAAAAAATAGAAGCTCCACCTCAGCTCTGCTAGTCCCGTGATCTTTGAAACGTTTTTGTCAAAGCCTGCGTTTGTGGCTGACTGAAAACTCAAATGCGATCGTAAAAGTTAAAAAGTATAAAAAATGTAACGGGGCAAGGTTCTACATAAAATTACCACTCTGTGTCAGTGTAGCCTCCTGAAATCTGCTGATCCAATCAAAATGTCACAGTGATCCCAAGAGCTGTGACCGTGTCTGTGCACGTGTTTGTGTGTGTGTGTGTGTGTGTGTGTGTGTGTGTGTGTGTGTGTGATACCTGCAGGCCTGCTGCTGGTCTTCTTCTTGAGCCATTTGTCCAGCGTCTCCGCACTCACACTCTCCAAAACAAATTCATCCAGCATCTGCGGGTGCAGCGAAAGGTAAGCCTTCACTTTCTCATCGGTCAAGCCTGGAAAATGAAAATAAAAAAGGTTAAAAACAAGTTTTGAAAGGAAAGTCTTTGACAGTAACAGAGAAACAGACTACCATATACACCAGCGTATAAGTCGCATCTTTTTACATAAATTTACAAGTCCTGCAACTTATACACCGATGCGACCACTATATGTTTTTTCCACATATTTATAACCCCATTTTTGGTGGAAATCTAACAATGTCATTCATTCTGACATGAAAAATATTAAACATTACCATTTGCATCCACTAGAGGGCCCTCGAGTCATATGGCAAGCCAAGTGTCTCATTAATAAGTTAAAGTGGCTATTAATGGGACACTTGGTTTGCCATATTTATCCACCTTCGTCTCGCTCTGGAACTCCTGGAGCAAACGTCAAATCAGCTGCATTTCGCTGCGCCGCCCAGGCGAAATGCAGCTGATTTGACCATTAAAGTGCATTTATTAAGGAAAAGTTCAACTGAGATACACCTTTGCTATAATTCTGAGCTAACAAATAAAAGTCCTCCCGTGCACACTCCTGCGGCCACTATTTGGGCAGCCAATCGATTTTTGACACAACACCGGCCCACGTTTGTTGTCAGCGGTGACGCATAATAAATGCGACCTATATGGCAAAGCAACTTATTTATGTTTTTTCCACTTTATTAGACATTTTTGAACTGATGTGACTTATAGGGAGGTGCGACGTGTATGGCGGCAAATACGGTAATTGAATTTACTTCTTTGTATCGTGAGATGGGTGTAGCAGCAGCCTCTGACAGTCAGGCCCATGTTTACTGTAAAGATGTGTCTCAGAGGATAGGAGCCCCCAACAGGGGCTGGGGCATAAAGGATGACTCAAATGTGCTTAACAGGCAATTCTGTTCTTGAGAGCGTACTAAATGCTGCTGTTTACTGTCTGTTGTCAAGGAAAAAAGCCATTTGCCTGACCAACGCTGGGAGAAAGTCGTTAATACACCCGCTGGTGTCTGAGGCGGTCATGGTGCATTCAGAAAACCACGTTCGGGAGATTCATGCAACTGGACCGGTTCATTATTACTTTCTTTTAATCCTAAAATAAAACCAAACTACTAATAAATGATCTAGTCCATATACTGAACAACATGGTATATTATATTATTTAGAGAAAAAACTAGTACATCTTCATGGATTTTGCGATATTTAAAAGCTCAGAAAAGTAATTTGAATGACATCCAGCTAATTAAAAACAGGTGAGTAACTGACGAGTTCCCTCGTGATGCCCCGCCCACTTATTTCACAGTAAACTCTTCCAGTTAGTTCTTTGCTTTCAAACACAGATCCATGTAAAATAAAAAATAATTAAAATGAATGAATAAAACTGCTTTACTGCAGTGACCGGACAGTTTTACAGTGACACATAGATCAGTGACAACTGTTGACCATGAAGATATACAAAAATGGTCTGAGAGCATCTTCTTACATATTTTATTACCTCACCTTGTCTTTTTGAGCAGATGACTCAGTTATTGACAGTTATAAGACAAGTACTGTAAAGTTTTTCACCAAAATGATGGAAGGTACAAATTTAGACCCACACAGTGGCCCACAGAGTTGCAATGGGAACTTGTAGGGTTAGACAGTACATCAAAAAATATCTTCAACACAATATCAATGTACCCAATATCAATATTGCAAAGGATTGCAGCAAAACTCCATGTTTTGTATGCTCCATGCCAATGGTATGTTTGCTAATTGGATGTATCCCCTAAATTCCCGTAGTCATTTTAGATGTTTGTGGCCAAAGAACCAGGAGGACGTTATGAACGTATAGAGAAAAAAGAGAACAAGATCTCCTCTGTGATCATCCAGAAATTTTCCACGCCGCTGATTTAAAACATACAGACAACTCTTCAATTCCTTTATTCCAAACAAACTCAAATACGGTATACTGTATTTTCCGGAGTATAAGTCGCATCAGTCAAAAAAGCATCATGAAGAGGAAAAAAAACATATATAAGTCGCTTTGTGCGACTTTTATTATGCATCACCGCTGACCCGTCGCATTTATTATGCATTTATTTAATGGTCAAAACAGCTTCATTTCACCTGGGTGGCGCCATCCATCCATCCATCGCAGCTAGAGCTGCTAGCTCTGCAGCGTTCCTCCGCCTGCACCAGCTGAGTAAAGTGAGCGTGCACAGGACTCACTGTTGCAGTTCTTAGAAATTTAAAGAGTCAGTCAAAAATTGCGTTATGAATATGGAAAAAAAAAAAGCATATAAGTCGCAGGACGGACAAATCTATGTAAAAGAAACTGTGACTTATACGCCGGAAAACACGGTAGTTTGAATACATACACCCCTTCAAGTTGTCACGATCAGAGATTTTATTCTGTTTTTTAGGTTGCAACTATCTTAACAGTAAGAAGATGAAAGAGTTATTGTGGCAAATAATGTGATTTTTATAAAGCTTTGCTAAATCAACTCTTCATAGCTTTGTGACTGCAATATCAAAACGTGTATATTTTTTATTTTAGGAAACCGGTGGATGGTTTCTTATAAACACAGCTAATTGAAAACGCATACAGCTGTTTTGGTCGGTTCTTCAACCTCAGTCAAAGCCTCAACTTTTTGGCCTCCTTCAGTTTCTGACGCACATCACCAGAGCTCCAAGGCATTGCTAACGGGTCAGATTACACTCCAAATTTAACAGTTCCTCCAGTTATCCTCCCACAAAGCAAGCCATGCTATCCTCAATCAATGGTGTGGCAACGGCATCTTTTAAAGAGCTTTTGGTAAAAAGCAAGTGGGAACATTAACAGTGCCACACAAAATAATGATGCTTTAACTTAGAATAAAAAAGGTGATTGCAACACTGTAGAATGAAAAAAGCCACGTTTGAGAAAAGAATTAGAGCGGAAGTTTTTGGCAGTTTGCGAAACACAATATCAAGAATTAAAAAAGCACATCAGCATTACTTTTAGAAAAAAATGCTGCCGCCCATCAGTTTATGAAGGATTATAGGGCCATTTTCAAACAATTTGGAGTTCATTATTTTACATACAGTAAGATTATTCACGAGTGGGAACATTCAATACTGATGCCAGTATTCCCAGGAGTGAGCATCCCACTAGGTTCACCCAAAAGTCAGACTGTGTAATGCTCCGAGGAACCAAAGTAATTCAGGAGATACATGTCAGACTAAATATGTCAATCAGCATGAAGAATGGTAAAGATCATTAAAACAAACATTTAAAAAAAAGAGTGAGCAAGTACAGCTTACTTTCACTTTAATGTAACAAGACTTCTTGGACGCCATCCTTTACATAGACAAGTTTGTCATGATGCACTGTGCCACATTTTGTAAAAATCAAACATAGCATATCAGCACGGACACGTCACACCAACTGTGAAGCACGACGATGGAAGGCTGACGGTTTGTGCATATTAAACCTTGACTTATTGGTCCAACTATAGGCTTATCTCTGTACCCAAGTATTCTTGAGACCAACTGTTGAACAGGTAAAACACAAACCAAACTCACAACAAAAGGGCTAAAAACAATCTAACGTCAAGGTGTTGCATTAGCACAAACCCCAAACATCCATGTGATTGGAGGTAGAGCTGTCATTTCTAACCTGGGTCCAAATTTTGGTCGGACTGGGCCGTAATAATGAGCTGGATGGGCAAGCTTGGTCGGTGTCTGGCTTTTGTGTCAGTGGACGTGCGCAGCTGGCGATCCAATTATATGGCAACATGGCTTGCTATACATTCACCAGCCGCATGCGGCCATTTGACCACGAGCTGACCGGCCTTGAAAGAGGTAAAAAAAAAAGTTAAGTTAAGCTTCAGATGGGACTATAGTGCCATGGATGTTCAGCCTCTGCACTCAGTGGACGTGCACGGCCGACGACTCAAAACAGGTGAGATCCCAAAGCAGACATGTCAAAGCAGGGTCCGTGTCTGAATAATGCAGAATGCAGACAGAAGCAGGGATTTAATGAGCTTTGATGGCCATGAAAGGACAAACACCCCCTCAGCTTCAAACTTCTGCCCCATTAGCCGCACGCGTCCACCGACCGTTAATAACTATAAGCAGTTAAAGCTTAATTAAAAATGTTTCGGGTTGGGGGGGTGTCATTTTCGGACTTGTAATTACTGTTAATTTGTTGGGTCTGAGTGGGGTTTGGAAATGATGGCGATGGGCTGGGGCAAGGTCGGATTTTTTGGGCCCAAATGCAACTCTAATTCGTTAAGACCTAAAGTGAACATTGCAAAACGAAACTTTGCAAACATCCATAAAATGAAGCAGCTCTGTATAAGATGCCATTCTTTTACAACAATGTGAGAGAAGCCATACAGAACCCATTTCACTTATTTCTGCAGTTTAATTTTGCAGCAAAATAAATTATTGAGTGTATTTAAGCCCTTGCTTCTGAATATTTAGATTAAAAAAAAAAAGATGTAATGTAGTATGTGTTTGCTTAATTATCCCATAAACTGGTAAAGAACATGCTTTTCATTTTGGTCTGACGTGTGTTAAAACAGTCATTCTAGAAGAAAACACCATGAACCATGAGTCCTCTTCTAATCGGGACTGAAATACAAGGGATCTATTTAGATAAAAAGTGAAACAAAAGATTAAAACAACCAAAGACTTTCTAATGATAATGTACTGTAAGGTATATTATTATGTGTTTCACTATACAATATATAATAATATAAATATCACTGACACCTCTGACTGTTGTTGAAACCAGTTTCCATGAAATGGCTGGCTATCAGCAGCATCAGGACAGACCTAACTCTGAATCCCAGCAGGACAAACAGCTGGATAACACGTGTTCTGACGACAAACACGCACACGTACGTATGTCGAAGTGCTGCAACATTATCAAAGCGGACAACAGAATTAGGGTGGTACAAGTATTGCTGATGAGCCATATGATAAAACACAAGCACAAGTCTTACTTCTGTTCCAGGTAACACGCCTTCATCAGAGGAATAGGTTTAAAACACTCCAAAAAGCTA